GCAAGATAGTAATCAAAACTGAAGGAATTGAGATGATGATAGTGCAACATGTTATTTATTTCATGATTTCATTATATAAAGAAATTATATTATAGAATTAAACATAATTTCTTATTTTAATTCTTGAAACTTAAATTATTTTTAATGTTGCATTTTAATATTTTTATTCACAAAATGATTTTTTACATATGAAAACTTACTTAAAAAATGTTTTAGCACAAAATAATTTTTAAAATATATAAACTTGTAGCACTTTTTTTCAAATTTGCTTCTTTTAAAAAAAATAAATGTCTGCAACTTTTTCAATTATTTTACAATTTTTTTCCGCGATCTTTGCTCGTCCGACGCTCACCAAAATTCTCAAATTATGAGAAGTCTGCAGATTTCGCTATACACATCAGACATGTGTGCAGACTTAACAAATAATTGAAAAGTTTTAATTTTATCGAATACATGTCTCAAAAAGAAATTTGGTATGCCAGCTTGAATATAGACGGTGCGATTTGGTAGCACGCATACCTTGTCTGCAAATATGTAGCATCGTCTGTATCCTGCTTAAGTTGATTTAGCTGCAGTAAAAACATGATATAAAGTTTTTTGGTATATTCGATAGTTTATTTCATTTGCTTCCCAAAAAATGATATTTTAAGGATTACGAATTTAGTTTGAACTATATTTTATAATAATTACCATATAATATTTATATTTGTTGTCATACATTTAGTAAGAGATATTTGTAGCTTCCGTTTTTAGTTCCCAAAATTGTTCTTTGGTTTTATTAAGAGAATATGATTATTAAAAACGAAGTCCAACTATATAGTAATATAATAAGTTTATTGTTGTCTTACTCGTAAACGTTCTATATTATCAATTTTTGAGTAAATAAACGCTTAACATCAAGAATATTTCTTCGTTTTACAAAAAATTTTGTACTGTTAGGAATTCTAATAATTGTAAAAGGTAGAAATTAAATTGTTTGGTCTTGATTAGTTGTTGCACTCTCAATTTATTATGTGTGAAAATAAATCGAATTTTAAGTTATAATATATTGTGCTTGTGCGTGCAAATTATTAAACAAAAGCATATGTCTGTAAAATACTTCAAAATGCCTAAATAAATGAAGACATTTTAACATATATTGCGTAATAAATACTTCACAAACAAGTCAAAATAAGACCGAACTACATAGTTTTCTCTAAATTAATATTTAATTATATATGACTCTGTTAAACATTTATTTATCTATGAATAATAGACACATTTAGGCAAAGCTGTATATTGAAACAGTTAATACGCTATTAAATTGTAGTTTTTGTTTATTGTGTTCACGCGGCGGTTCTATTTTAAAAAGCAGTATTCGGCTGGTTATGTGCATATATATAACTAAATATTCGCTATAATATAATTTCTTAGTTGTTCATAATGCAGAATAAAATTGAAGACGTAATGTCAAAAGCACAGTTTTCGAAAGGTGAGCTTAAGCCTATTATCTTTATCTCAAAATCATAAGTTATATATATATATTATAGTTTGCATACCTTATGTTAGTGTAAAATATAGCGGAACCTTCAGTGGAGTACATAGCAGATGACAAAAATACTAAAAATAACACAGTATGAGGATATATAATATCTCTATTATATATCCTTCTGCATTCTATTTATTCACTTTTTTAACAGACCCTCTTTATTTACATTATTATAGAAACAGTATTCAATTTTATAAGTTTGTAGTTTAAAGTTAAAGACTTGAAAACACGATTCCGTTTCTATATTTAAGATCATAATATTTCATGCTATCAAAAACTGTCTGTTGAATGTTAAATATTACTATATTCCTATATAAGAAAGCTTCGGAACATAATTGTTTTTTCAACAATTTCTTATACATGTTACCAATTTTCATCCTTTAAACCATCTACTTCAATATTTTGTAAGTATTGGACATTTATCTACCCATTAATTGTTCTAGATCTTCTACTTCACATACATAGGTTGCATAGCAAACAAATGTGGGAGTTTCTTCCATGCCATGGATTTCCATTTGACCATATAAGGTTGAGTTGGGCTATGATAATCCAAAAGATGTTTTCATAAATTTAGAAATAAGATAAATTGTGAGTCTGATTTAGATTTTAAATATTTAAAAATCTGCAGACATGCAGACGCGACGGTTATTGGTCACGTTAGTTTCGTGTCTCTTTTGCTAGCATTCAAATCCCTACTCAATGCTGTTACAATTATTTGAATACTTTTTGGTAGTGTATGAATTTAAAATAAAAATACAAAATGTGATATTTTTTTACAAGAATATTTTTTTAAGTTTATGAACAATGCGTTAAATTGCAACTGAATTGAAGTCCTAATATTAGCCATAATTTTTTCTTTCAGAGTTGCAAAAAACATTAAGTCTGGTTGAAACAAATTGGCATCACTTTATCTAAATATCTTAAATGCTATTTTTGACACATGTTTTTTGTTGTGTTGTGTACAATATTAAATATAAAAATTGTACTAAAAATTAATTAATTAATTAAAACTAAAAATTAATTAATTTAAATAGAAGAAAACAGAATTAATATTAGAAGAGTAACTGTAATCATTTTTATAAATTAATTTATTTATGTGTTTGAATTTATTAGTAAATTAAATGCTCATATGTTTTTAAGTGATGGCTGGAATTTTGCTACATATTTCCAGTGAACATTGACAATAGACATATTTTTGAATTTGACTGCACTGAAACTAACCACAATTTTTTGCAAGTAAAACCTAATTATGAAAATTTTAAGAGTATTGTTATTGCGCTTCATATGTTTACTTTTGTAAGTTGCGAGTATTTTTTTGCTACTCTGACAAAAAAATTGGGGTTTATATATAAACCTTATTTTATAGTCTCACATCAAGTGTTAATATCAAGTGAAAAATAAGTACATCACTCTAACTGAGCGGGGACGAAAATGTAAAAATTTATAGTTGCAAAGTTAACAAATTGTATACCAATTGTTAAAGGATAAAAAATTTGTTCATTATTTATAGAAATTAGAGGACGACGAGGCTTCAAATACATTCGTGCTCAATTTATAAATTTAGGGATTTCTTTTTAAAAATTCAGCATAAATCCGAAAAAAGTGAGAACTATCATATTTTTGTAAAATTCAAAAGAAAATTGAGAACTCTCATATATATATATAAATTTAATAAGCTCTTATTTATATTATTAAACCAGAACAACTGGTGTGATCAGCCATGCGATCATAATAACTTTAAAGTGTGCAATGACCTTCTATAATTTTATTTTTATTATTATTATTTTATTATTTTATTTAAAATAAATAACATAACATAAATAATGTGTACTAAAACAAATAATTAAATTAATTAATTAAATAAATAATTATTAAATAAAAGACATGATAATAACTATTTTTAATGGATATAATATAAAGCAAATGTAACATAATTATTATTCTTTGAATTTAATTTTAAAATGTGTATGATAATGTGAATGATTTTTGTTTTGCTTAATGATAACAGTTACGGTTCCTGATTACTATTATGGTTACAAAAGAAGATGCATTTTTCTATTAGTTCTTTTCATAAATCGACATCAGTATAAATATATTGTTAGGTATATTTCTATATAAATATATGTTATATAATATATTATATAATATATGATATAATATAACATAATATATAATATAATATATGATATAATATAATATAATATATAATATAATATATGATATATAATATATTAGTCATTTGCGACCACTTTAAATGCCATATCAAATGATTCACTTCAAATCAGTGATTTGAAAATGTTTACATTCGTTATTCATTTGTTCTCGTTTCAAACAGCTGATTTGTCAACGTATATTTTATTTGAAAAGTTGTGATTTATTTTATTTACATTTATTTGTTAAAAATGAACATTCAATATAAAAGATTGATTATTGCAAAACAATTGAGTTGTTTAGAAAAAATAAAATTTTTTTTTTAGTAAATTTTCGCTGCTTATTGCTGCAAACAATCCGAAATATTTGTTTACCTTTTGTTTTTTGTTAATATGCCAAAATGTCATGAAAAGCTTTTATTTAAGGAATGTTGAATGTATTAATTTGCATTTGGAACGTATTTGAAACTCGTTGGAACCTATTTGTACAAAATCAACAAATGGAATTCATTTGCGCATTTGAGGTTTTGTGTGCAGATATCAGTCAAATCAGTAACTTGACCCATTGTAAACATTATGTAACATAAGTGTGTTGTATAAATGGGTTTCATACTCAAGACAGCAAATATGAATTGAAGAATTAATGACAGTTGATTATTTTATTAAACATTTATTAATGATTTAGTACAAAGTATGCATATGGGCCAGCGAATTCATTATGCAATTGTAAGGGACAATTCTAGGCATTTATTCTTACTTAAACAATTTAACTAAAACGATCACTGTATAAGCAATTGTTTAAAAGATAGATTTATTAAAAAGAAAATATTGCTCCAACTCAGCTTGAATATGTTTTAAAGAGAAAAAATGTGGAATGTTTAAGATAATTAAAAACTAAAAAAAAAGTGATTCTAAACAATTACTTTCAACTTATAAGTAGATTCAATATAAAATATAAGTAAACGGAATTATCTACCGATACTTGACTTTGTTATTTTTTCCAGTATATCAATTAAAGTTAAATATATCTAATCTGGTGTTTTCTTAACCATATTGCCCTTTTAACTTTTTTATATTGGTATTCATGATATGCAAACAATTTTCAAAATAAGAGTAAAATGTGAACGTTATGTAATAATGTTCGTACGAAGATGTATAATTAATGCATATGCGTAAATGTGTTTGTAGTCGCAGTATTAAAAGAAAAGTTTTAGCGCTTTATACTTATAAGAGATCAGAAATGAATGCCCAACACACGCTGGCTATGTTATGCTTTCCCCTCTATATTTATTAAAAGCGTCAAGCTTAATATTTGTTGAACAAAGTTTAGGTTACTTAAAACAAATAGTGAGTGAATAACTTTAGACGTGTATCAAGCTGCATTACAAATGGTTATCGCACGACGTCCACCGTTTTATTGATAACGTATGAATTTATATAGATTTTATATTTACAAAAAGTTATTGTAAAGCAATCATAATATTATGTGGAAATTAAAAACAATAAACGTAAACGTAAAAAGGAATTATAAAACAAATACGTTTGGATCTGAATTAAACAAAATATCAAAAGTGTGATACTCCAGACTTCTCCAATTTAAAAATGTTCAAATATAAAGTCGCATACGCAGGTAACCATAGTGTTGTGAATAATGACGTTATAAATGAAAAAAATTGCTTGAACAGTGGTAATTCACCCAATGGATCAACAGCGTTATTGAATGAAATATGTTCAACACAAAGAAAAAATAAACTTTCAATGACCCATAAAAACTCAACAAAGTTAAAAAATGTGCTAAAAATTGAAAATACCGTATCTCGAAATCAAGGGCAAAATAGAAATGATAATGTGAATATTACTCTTAAGAGAAAAGAACTACTCTTAAGAGAAAAGAGAACTAACTTTCACAAATTTAAAAGTAGAGTGTTATCAAAGGATATCATTGATAAAACTGATAAATATATGTGTAAGTGTTTAGATCGAATACGAATTTGTGTGTTATGTATGCAAAAAGGTAATTTGATTGATATTGTTTATAGGAAAGCAAATGTTTAAATTGTTATAACTACTTCGGTTAGTATAGTAGCACATAACTGTTTTTGGAAAATAAATTTTTAAAATTTAAGAGAGAGTTCAATAAGATACATTTCGTAGTCGAAATTTGAAATAAATTTTTCGGCGAATACAATATCGCCTCTATTTTTCATTTTGCTGCTGATTCGTTTAGATAAAATTTTAATATAGAATCAAAAAGTAAGAATAACGTTTTTTTTACAAAACAAATGTTCATTTATTAACTGTCTCTTGCCTACTATGTTTATATGAAGGAAAATGTTGACTTATTTTATAAAAATTAAGTAGCGCATGCCATATATAATTTAGAAGTCAAAATTATGTTGACTTATGTAAACTAATGTTATTCTAATTCAATCAAATTATTTATTTATAATTGAAAAAAAAATGTGATAATTTATTTGAAAATATAAATATTTTTAGCTATGCCTTGGTTTGGTATGGATATCGGAGGAACTTTAACAAAATTAGTATATTTCGAGCCAAAAGATAAAACTGTCCATGAACTTGACAGAGAAGCTGAAGTATTAAGAAATATAAGACGATATTTAACGAAAAATTCTGCTTATGGCAAAACTGGACATCGGGATACACATTTACAGGTCAGAATTTTATTATTTTTATGATAAATTAGGGAAAACTGTAACAGTATTAAATACCATTTTTTTTTTTTCAAAAAAGGTTTTGTATGTTATACATATACTTTTCTATAAATTAAATCATTGCTTTAAATTAATAACAATGATGTGGGTATATTTGTATTTTATTATTCGCTTTTATTTCTTATAATAATTGCACAATTTTATTTATAATAATAAAATAATATTGAAAATTACTAAATGTATAATATGTTTATTAATTAACAATCATTAAGTTTTATTTATTCATTTACAGATTTCAATATATCAGGTACCATATCTCATCCTAAAAAGCTTACAAATGTACAGCTTTATATTATCCGACTTGCTCATAAACACTTTAATTAAATTATACAATATAATGTTGCTTATTGCAAATATTGTAAGCAGTTGCGTCGCTTTCAGAAAATGAAGAAAAAGCACTCGCTCTGTGTTAATTTCATGTAACCTTCAACAGAATAAAAGGTTAACACCGCTCTCTCATTACGGAATTTCATTACGTCGTTTTCTTAATTTCGTTGAAATAATTCGCTCATTATAATACATTTCAAGCCTTTTAAATAATTTGCATTAAAACTGTCCGAAGTGTCTATAGATATATTCACTTTAATATGCAGTGGTGAAATTTATTCTTGTATCGAAGTTGTTGACTTTTATTTCAATACATATAACGTTCAAGCTATATATACATATAAGTAAAAATGTATTTGCAAACGAATTTCAAGAATCACGCTGGAATAAATGACCTTTGATTAGAGTAATATCAGAATAGATATTCATTTTTTTCCAAAACAAACTATTTGACAAACTATTTAACAAACTATTTCCGTTTTTCGGGTACATGTCACCACATAAAGTAGAAGTTATCATAGTTAAATGTAGATTACATATAAGCAAAAGCAAAACAGTGCCGTATTATGATGCCCACAATATTTGAATACATTTCTTCTATGATGATTTATGTATGTATATGGACATTAAAATATTGAACTAATTCTGCTAATATTACAAATATGAAATTTAATAAAAAAAACGTTATTATTTATTTGATAATGTATTAACAATACGATAGTATCAAGCTTTTATTATTTGTTTTTTATTTTGTATTTTCATAATTAAATATATATCAATATATTTTTATATATGTAAAATCTATTTAATAAACTGAATTTAGCTTTTTTATATCAAAACATATAATTAATAATTTTATACAATTGGATTTTCGAACCGTCAATTTAATAATAGGCCTTTTCCGTGGCTCGCAAGTATGACAAAAAACAGCAAGTTGCTACTGACCTACACTGGCCGAAAAGTACGTAAAACTCAATCTAGGCCAGTAGTTGTATGCTGGCCACACACTTCGTCCAGTAAAGAAAAAAGCGTTACCAACGCAATAAGCGAACTTGTGAAATTTCAGAGGAAATTCCAATGAATATTACAATATGTCAAAAATCATATGTAAACAAATTTCAAAAATTTCATAAATTTGTAAATTGGAAAAAAAAAATTTTAGTGTTTTATTTTGAAATTTTCAATTTAATTCTGTATTCATTTTTATTTTCAATTTATATTTAATTACATATTTATTTTTATACAAAATGTAGTTTGCTTGCATTATGTATACATATGCAAGATTTGCTATTTGACAAAACATAACACTTGACAGATTGCAACAGTGATGCCAATGTCTCGCTTAGCGAGTATAGGTCACCACGCATTTTTTATAACACTTGCGAGCTACCGAAAACGCCTAATATAAACTTTGCAAGTTTAAATGTACTTTCTTACAAAGTATTGTAAAAATACCTTAGTTGGTCAAACAGTTCGCAATCAACGCAGTGTTACACGCTTCAGAGTAAGAAAAACAACACAGCATTTTAACCTGTTATTGTTGTCATAGTTTTATTCTACTAAAAGTTTTCAACAATTTTTTATAAAATACATATTGAGAATACTTCATTCTGTACTAAATTGTTTTCGAAAATCAGTGAACGCTATGTATACTGCACTCCGCAGTTGTTGCATTCTTCTAATATTATGTTAATATTGTTTATAAGGTGAACCCGTAATCGTAATGATATTAACACAACTGGTTTGATCGTTTTGATGTTTAAAGAGTCTTATCTTGACAGCTGCTGATATTCTTGTTAGTAGAGCATGATGCCGTTGTAGTTGTTGCAATTGTTTAAATTGTCTCTTTGGGCAGTTTTCGTTAGATTCCTTTATTTCATCAGGTTGATGCGATTTTGTCTTGCAAAATTTGGTGTAGTATTGGAATACGTATGTCTGCGGTTATTTTGGGATTTGCTGTTATATCTTTTCTGTTTCATATATTTTATGAATGACGTTAGATTCGCTACATTTTGTAACTTTTATTTTAGCTACCACTTTTTGTAAGTGCTGGGGGTCTATTCCACAACTGTAGAAAAAATTTTGTGTAACACGTAAACGAAAAACTTATTTCTCACCGCAGTTTACACTTTCTTGTAAAATGGTATTCCTCAAGTGCTAGTGACTTTTTTGGTGCTGAATTTAAAATTATTTGTATTTACACTGAATAAACTCAATTATTAAAAATAAAGAAATAAACAAAATGGCAGACATTTTACTAATTATAATGCAATTTTATAATTATTATTATATTAAAAATTTTTTTCTTTTATATTTTTATAATTTTTTTACAGTTCTTATAAGTTTCAAAATTTTATTATCGTTAAAAATTCAATATTGATATTTGAGTACAAACTTCTTTTGCTCCTTTTGCTTACTTTTTACTTACACGTTTATATATTAAATTTCGCACAACATTTTCTGTTTCTTTAAAAACTCACTGTCAAATGTACGATGAATAAAATTTGAGAAAAGTGTACACTTTTTGACAGATAAACTCAATATTCGCAGTTGAGGAATAGCGAAATCAAAATGTAAGCAAATTTTTGTGTAAACTTCAGTTTGTAAACTTACGAAGTTACATAGCGAGCATAATTAGTTCTGTTTACAGTTCCTGTTCCGTTGTATTATTTGGTATTAAAGGTTAATGGTTGCTTTTGTAGATATTGAAGGGGCCTTCAACAATATACTCCCGAGTGCAATAGTAAGCGCGATCTCGCGTCTGGGTGTTGATGATGCGCTCATTGGCTTTATAAATCAGCTGCTAACTGGCAGACTCATTGAAGCAACGATGGGCTCATCAACGGCACGCAGAAGGGTAAATAGAGGTACCCCCCAAGGAGGAGTACTCTCCCCTCTCCTTTGGAACATAGTGGTGAATGAACTGCTAATACAACTGAAGGCGGAGGGATGCGAAACTATTGCATATGCGGATGATATTGCGATAACAGTCACCGGAAAATATACTACCACTCTTAGGGATATTCTACAAAATGGTCTTAATATCCTAAACAATTGGACATAAAAATGTGGCCTTGGGGTGAATCCCAATAAAACTGAAATCGTAGTTTTCACAAGAAAACATACGGTCCCGAATCTTTCTCCACCCTCTCTACGAGGTTCTGTGATACATGTGAAGGAGGAAGCCATATTTTTAGGTATAGTTTTCGACAGGAAACTCACTTGGAAGAAAAACACTCTAGAGCCCGCAAGAAAAGCCAATGTTGCGCTTCTTCTATGTCAGAAAGCTATTGGTAAGAAGTGGGGTCTTCAACCTCGCATCATCCATTGGCTACATATAGCTGTTATTAGGCCCATATTGATGTATGGTATTACGGTATGGTGGACAGCTCTTGATAAATCTTCGTACTGCTCAGTACTTAACAGGATTCAGCGTAGAGCTGAACTCTGTATTAGCGGGGCGCTATGCACCACACCATCCGTTGCACTAGATTTGATGCTTCAGTTACTGCCAATGGATATTATTAGTAAACAAATGGCAGCTTCATCTGCTTTAAGACTAAAAGCTACCTCACAATGGAGAGACAGTGACTATGGTCATGCCTCCAGTCTAAATCTTTTCAATTTTACTCCTAAAAACATTGATTACATCACACCCACTCTCAACTTTGACAGGAAATTTGATGTCGTGTTTCCATCTAGAGAGGTATGGACGTCAGGTGGTCCCTTCTTAGATGAGGGCGTAACCATCTTCACTGACGGATCCAAAACAAGTAGTGGTGTAGGTAGTGGAGTTTTCTCAGAGGAATTGAACAAATCTTCCTTCTTTAGGCTTCCAGATCATTGTAGTGTCTTTCAGGCGGAAGTGGTCGCCATCAGGGAAGCTATAGCTTGTTTGAATGTAGATGATATATTTGGCAGGAATATATACATACTATCAGACAGTCAAGCTGCATTAAAGTCCTTGAGTTCGGTCCAATTTACATCTAGGACGGTTCTTGACTGCTACACATTTCTAAACGAAATGTCGACGCAGCTCAATATTTCTCTAATCTGGGTTCCCGGCCATAGGGATATTTTCGGAAATTGCAAAGCAGACGAGTTAGCCAGAAAGGGTGCTTCAGAACCATACTCGGAGCACCTAGACTATCTGGGCATATCGCTAACATCATGTAAATTGTTATTGAGTTCTTTCTGCACTAATACTTTTAATAAAAGATGGGAAGACTCAACGATATGTAGACATCTGTATGCAATCTGGCCACTTTCCGATAAAAGGAAATCGAAAACTCTCATTGAGATGTCCCGCAAGGACATTGGTCTTCTGGTAGGGTTGACTACAGGGCACTGTAAGCTAGGGAACCATGCTAGAAGACTAGGTCTTCCTTTCAACCAAATCTGTCGTAGCTGTGGGGAGGACGATGAGAGCGCATCTCATCTGTTGTGTTTTTGTCCAGCTCATGCACGTCGGCGATTTAGTACTCTAGGGGCCCCCTTCCTTGAGGACCTGGACCAGTTACAGGATCGGGCTTTAAATAGCATTTTATGCTTCGCAAAAGGTTCTAGGTGGTTTTAAACCCTGAGGTTTTTATTATTTATATACGGCATCACAATGGGCCAATAGGCCTAAGTGGATCCACTAGGGATCACCGGTATAACCTAACCTAACCTAAAGGTTGCTCAAAATATTTTTAATGTGTTCGGCGTCCGATCTTCTAACAAGCAGTTAGTCAATAGTTTTTGTTTTTGTCTTTATTTGGCTTGTCCGTCGTTCGACTTTGCTCTGTGCAGCTTTTAATCATTTCTGAATTATGTTAATTTGTATCCTAAAAGCGCATACGACAATGTAATGCTCGCTTCCTATATCAGCTTTAATTTGGGTCGCGCACCAAGCAGTGAAATTCTCAATTTGCTGTTGATCATTGTATCGTATATTTGGTGTACTGTCTTATAATACGGTGAAGCGACGTTGCTTTGTGCGAATATTTATGAGTAAATGTTATTTTTCTTTTCTCTCCTAATTTTATGTCACTTATAATTTAAATATTAAAACTATAAAACTATTATTTAAATTTTCTTTGAACCTTATAACTAAAACTAAGCTAAAATTGAATTTTAATATTTTTTATAAATAACATCTATTGAAAGTAGGTAATATTTACATATTTAAATAAATAAATAAAACAATAATGTACACATAGACAATAACAATTATATATTATATATACAGCACTTTAAAGTTTTACTTAAAATTGACAACATATTTGTTGTGTGTCAGATTGGCATACAAAAAAGTGGCGCATATTACTAACATTATTATTCATATTAATTCTTCAATAATTAATCTTCTGTAACATAAAATAATTTTCATAAATTTGTACTGATTATTAATATTACTACCATTTAGTAAAACTTTAACTTTTTCTACGTACAGAAGTTCTTCAAAAAAAAAAAAAATTAGTCTATTTGCTTATCTGCTACATGCGCATTTAAGTCCCCATCAGCATAGTAAACAAGTTTATTAAAATCGTTGAAAAATTGTTGCAGTAGAAAAAGCCTTCTCCGATTTTAAGCAATAAATTATGTTAAGTTGCATCCACACCAACTTACCTGAGAATGTTCGTTCGTTCGTAAGCGTTAGCTTTGGTGTGGATGCACCTTTATATGTACATACAGAACAGTACATAATCCAAAAAAAAAATAAGTAAAGTTATTTTCGTTTTTAACAAGTTACTATGCAAATTGTTACTGAGTTCTTTCTGTGCTAAAATTTTTAATAAAATATAGGAAAGCTCAACGATATGCAGGCATCTGCATGCAATCTAGTAAATTTTCCGCTAAAAGGAAATCGAAAACTCTCATTGAGATGCCCCGAAAAGATATCAGTTATTTGGTATGTGTACTTACAGGTTACTGTACACTAAGGAACCATGCTAGAAGATTAAATCTCATTTTTAATCAAACCTGTTGCAGCTGTGGGGAAGACGATGAGAGTGTCTCTCATCTACTATGTCTTTGTCTAGCGCATGCACGGCGGTGACTTAACACTTTAAGAGGATCTTTCTTGAGGATCTTGATCAATTACAAGACCCGACACTAAACATCATTTTGAGCTTTGCTAAAGGTTCTAGGTGGTTTTAAACCCTGAGTTATTGCTATATATAAAGTAATACAATGGGCCTAGGGATCACCAGTATAACCTTACCTAACCTAAAGATTATAAGAATCATCATCAATAAAATTTTTTACGACAGAAACTACAATATATAATAAAATTACTTTATATTGGAAGTGCGTCCAATATTTTTGGCTTTCGAATGAATTTGTAACTATATAAGGTAAGGTAGGTTGAAATAACAGCCATGCACCCAGTTGAACTTAAATAATAGCCTGTTGTAACACCACGTATTAGCGTTGTTAACACGTAGCCTTGAAAGGTCGCTAAAACAACTGGAGCGGTCAGTGTACGACCTCCACTAAAAGGCATGACACCTCCATTCAAGTAAAAGCGAAGAAACCAAAATAATTTACAAACTTAGCTATGTTCCTAATTTTGCAAGAAGATAGCATTGCCAGGTCGGTTAAAAAAGGGGCCCAAAGATTTTGAATCTTCTAGCCAATACTGGACACTTACGTGTAAGGTGGTGTGCAAGTGTAGAGTAAACCCATTCTTACACTATGTCCTCTTAGTAAGCAATAACTAATATGTTTCCTGTCTAGTTTAGACTAGGTCGATCTTAAAACATAGAAACTCTTTTAAGCGTAGATGTAAACGCGATGATAATGAAACTGTTGAATATATATGTAATGCACTCATACAAACTTTACATGGAGTGCAGATGTTATTAAACGCATTTTTTTTAATAATGTTCTAAAAGAGACTTTATTTTAATAAGCAAACTTCAACATGGTTATAATAAGTAGACTTCAATAATAAAAAGTGATAGATGAAATAGTAAGAAACCTTAGCTTAACGAATTTTTAATTATTATGAAGAAATCATCAAAAACTCTCTTATTTACTGGCATTCTGATTTATTAATCACATATAGGATGACAGCAAATTCGTCGGAGCACATAGTACAATTATAACTGACTACACGTATTGCTTGTATATACAATAGTCCAATATGGAATTTGAAGCTACTTATACATCATTATGCAACGAAATATAAATATTTGAGCATGAAAATGTGAATATTTCAGTGACAGGTTGCGATAAAAGATGCTTCAATACTGTACTTTGCTGGGTATATTCCTTTTAAACTTCTAAATATTAACTGTCAATAATACAATAACAGTCTTTAAAAATCTTTGGTAGTCTAATTGCAATGTCCAAAATATGTTTTTTTTAAAGTTGGCTTAAATACATTAACGGATTTAGAAGCATTTTTATACAAAACCAGCAAGAAAAAAATTAAAATTCGGAAACAAGATTCCCGATGTATTGTATTTTTAGTAATTAGTAAGCTATATATCTATGAATACATCTCTATCGCCGACTAATGTAACAAAAGCACTTCTCTATTAAGAGAGAAGAACTAGACTTCGAGTTGTCAAATATGAGCCGGCTAACTGACTGATTAGGTCTATGTTGATCCTTTTTTCGAGTCAGCGCAACTGGGGACTTTTACTCTTTGGTAGCAGAGGGTACTACAGGGTCCCACCCATCTCATTGACTAATTTGTATGTCTCATAAGCTTCATGATTATTCAGTAATTGATCTAAGATCTGCGTACCTCCCCGTGCGGAGACTGATTACTCTAAGATTAGATAGTGGTAAGTAGGATAGTCTGTCAATATTCGCATATAACTTCAGGGCTCTGTTCCTTATGTATTTTTTGATCGAGTCTATTCTATGGTCTCTTAGCATATTGTTTGTGGGGATGTACCAAGGGACTTTGAACAGTCTTCGGAGAGCCTGACTTTGAGCGACTTGTAGCTTTTGTATAGTAGAGTCGGCAGCTTTGCTAAACGCGACACACCCATAAAGTAATGCTGGTCTAATTATCTGGCTATAGATCAGTTTTCTGTTCTTCACGCTGCAATGACATACATATTTTTGTATGTCATTGAAGACGGCATATTTTAAGCCGCGTCAAAGTGTGTTTTGGTCTTGATGCCAGAATCCGCATCGATCAGTTTCAGTATTGTCAGTTTTGCCGTTTAAAGTCATTTTTGTCTGCTTTCAGGGTTTGTCTGGTAGTGTTGTTATTAGTTACCATTACTACATATAATTTATGGTGTTGTTAAAAAAAATTATGTAACTATGAAAATAATCGATAACTTAATTACAGATGGACAATGTTGAAATTCGAAAAAGGCGAGGATCTTTACATTTCATTCGATTTCAGACAGCAGATATGCGTAATTTTTTGTCATTGGCCAGACAAAAGGGAATGGCTGAATTGCTAACAACGGTTTGTGCTACTGGTGGAGGTGCTTTCAAATTTGAAAACGAATTTCGAAAGGTCAGTTTTACAAAATTAATTAAATTTGTTTAATATTTTATTAATATTAATTTAAATCACGAATGAATACAGACGTATTCATCACATGTTTATTTTATTATAATTTATTATTTTCTTTTGTCTATTGCTGATAAACTTGATGAACGCAGAAAAACGCGTTTGTCACGATTGATTACTGATTAGTTATTAAACTTATAGTTCAAATAGCAATAAAAAAATTTAAAATAATTCTAAAGTGAATTATAACTAATAAATATTGTTAAATACAACAGCACATAAGAAAAATTGAAAAAATTAAGAAATGTTGAGAATCACTGGTAACTATTTATTAATAAGAGTTCAGAACCCAACGTTACAGCTGCTTGTTTTCGGAAATTTGGCAAAATGAATAAAGTTTTACCAGCCAATGGAGCCTAGTTTCTGATAGCGAATATGACAACGATATCATTACGATTATTGATATGAAAAGAACTAACGAGTAGATTGCCTTTGATGTCATCATATATTTTTACCAATTTAATGTAGGACCTTTAACTTTAACCATCAATTTAAATGACAATTATATGATGTAGCTTCTTTCGGTAAAGTCATCGGTATAGGACTATAATATTGAGAAGTCTGCAATATCTCAGAAAATTTTTAATCCGTTGAAATATGTTGATATTACATTCGGTGATACCGAATCAAATTTTTGTACCATAAAACCGTCTTAGTCTGATAAGCTAGCCTTTTTTTATAAACTTTTTGATTTTTTTTTTATTTTTATGTGCTTATTCATCAGAACTGAGCAACAAGAGAATGCTAAGATATTCCGTAGTATTTACGTATGGAATTGAAACTTTTAGTAGCCTTAATGGTTGAGTTTTTAATTGCATCTAATGGTTCTCTAAGTTTTTAATTGTATCTACCGCAATTGTTTTGCGGCCGCGGCTTCTCAAGTGTGTCCTGTTTGCTAAAGAAATGAAATGATGCTTTATTGTAGGGACGCCAGCTTTTGTTTATACAAAATTGGAGTACTTATTTTCTTTTTTTTACACAAAGTATCGTGCACCTAAAATTCAAATTGGTGAGTGTGGATTAGGTTACGAAATTCAATAATTGGTTTTATGAGATTAAAAATAATTGTTCCCATAGTTCTGTGATTTGCGGCAGAAGGGGGATTGTTTGATATAAAGAAACCATATGTATGCGTAATTTTCTTTTCAAATTTCACATGGTTGGTACACTAGGGTGGCTCACGTTATAAGGGGGAAAATTAAAAATGAAGTTTTGAATGAGCGCACCCCCTAGGAATATGCCATTGACCTTAAAAATGATATTCCCAAAGTTTTGGAACAATAGGATTAAAAATGACGTTGCGCCCTTCGAGCAAAGTTGGGTTTTCAGTACAAAAAACAGAAATTTTTCATTTCAAGGTCATTTTTTATCTTTGTTACTTGTCTCAACAGTTATTAATATATACTCATTTGATAGATAATTAAAATATTTTTTTAATAAGATACTGATGAGCAAAATCGGTTAAAAATTATGCGCAAAACACAATAATTAGTTGAGCGACTGTGCTCTGTTTTCTATTTCATACCGTTTAGCTGGCATGCACAATGCAATCGCAAATGTTTACAAGAAACGGAAGAAACATAAATAAAAAATAAAAATAATACATTTCTACTTTATAATTTATATAGACATTTAAATAGAATTGAAAAAGTAGTCAAAACAAGAATTTTTTCGTAAGCAAAGAGAAAATGGTCGTACAGGGAGTATGACTGAAGTTAATATCCTTTTAGCAAACGAAGCAAGAGCGGCTAAAAATTTCATTGATTTTAATTGAAATGAATTCGAGGATAAATTTGTCTCAAAATGGAAGCTGAATCTTTAGTCACAGTTCAACAAAATTGAGATAACGCAGACAGAACGATTGAATTTATTACATCTAGTTTAGTTTCCGCCTTTGACAAATGCAAGGTTTCGGATCGCTACGCTATACATATTTTGTAGTTGTAGGTATGGTTAGCTGTGGCGCCCAGGTGCCATCCAAGATTCTCGATGGATGGCGAAAACCATGTACTTACTAAAATTGTATATTTTAAGAGATCAATTTACATATAACTCGGATGATTAGTACGAGATATATACATTTTTATGGTGAGCATATGTGTGAAAATTTTAACCCACACTAGGTTAGGTTATGTTCGGAAGGCACGTGCTGACAGTTGTCAGCACTTCTACTCGGAGACATATATTGCCCATTGACCTCAAAAAATTTTACCAGGAGATGGGGGTTGCTAACTTTTGTTATCCTTGTTAAACCATTTGGTTTTCCAGATGAAGTTGAGGAGATCTGATAAATTTGCTTTCGTTATCTCTTCCAAGCCAGTAAAATAAGGATCCCCAAGACATTAAAATAGCCTTGTTTGAAGTCCTGGACAGAGACACAGGAAGTGGTTGATAGATTTTACCTCCTCTTCATCTTGGCAACTTCTGCATAAACCACTTGTTGGAACTCGCCACCATTGGAACATAGGCGCAATCGCACAGTGCACCTTTAGTACTCCAGAAAGCACACGAAATGCAGGTTTGCTGAAGCCTAAAAGCCTTTTCGTTTTATTTTTGTCCAACTTAGGCCATAAAATTCTAGCGACCTTACAGTCTTCGCAGTTAGTTTATAAATTGTTAGTCACCGTATTGATTTCCTCTATTATCCTAAACAGTTTACGTATCGGTGTGTATATTGAGAGGTCGGCCTCTCCGGTATGCAATTCAGAACCTCTTCTGGTCATCTCATCTGCTAGTTCATTTCCTTCAATATTGCTATGTCCAAGTATTCGAAATGTACTAGGCCCAACAAAGAGAGACCTTATGATGTTTGATGCTCATCAGTGAATAGCGACATTTTAATACTATCTTGGAATTTAGATTCTATTGCTTTCAGTGCGGCCTATCTACAAAAATCGTGATATTCGAAGGACGAATTGTACTTTGTTGTATAATGTTGACCACTTTTTCGATAGCATATATCTCGCCGTGAAAGACACTGTAAGTAACAGAGATTCGGTAGCACTGTCTTATCTGTATATCTTTCGAGAAGATTCCTGCTCCCGTACCGCCTTCCATCTTTGAGCCATCTGTGTAGATAGTAACTGTAGAGTTACCGGTCTCTCTGGTTAGATAAAGAGTGGGAATCCGCTAATGAAGTAATTTTCCTCAAAGAACCTTATTGATTTCGTGACAGAAGAGATAACAAATTTTTTGGATCGTTTTTGCCTATCTAATAGTTTTATTAGTTTCGATCCTTCGCCATGGATGGAAACGCAAGATTATAGAGATGCACTTGAATTCTGTGCCAGACTTCATGTGGTAATGATTGTATAGAAAGAGGAATTAGGCTTATGATGGATTATAATTCGATTTTGACAAAATATGAGGAGAAGAAACAATATGTTCTGCAAGTAGTCGAATATTATCATAAAAATTATCCTTCACATAGTCAGATTTATGTTATAAAACATAATAAACACAATATATTAATTACTGAAAAAAAGAATTTTCTTGAAATTATAATTTTTTGTAAATAGTTAACTAAATTGAAGCATATACCTATTACGTAATTGTGCATGCCAGCTAAAAGGTATGAAATAGAAAACAGAGCAAAGTCGCTCAACTAATTATTGTGTTTTGCGCATAATTTTTAACCGATTTTGCTCATCAGTATCTTATTAAAAAGATATTTTAATTATCTATCAAATGAGTATATATTAATAACTGTTGAGACAAGTAACAAAGATAAAAAATGACCTTGAAATGAAAAATTTCTGTTTTTTGTACTGAAAACCCAACTTTGCTCGAGTGGCGCAACGTCATTTTTAATACTATTGTTCCAAAACTTTGGGAATATCATTTTTTTGGTAAATGGCATATTCCTAGGGGGTGCGCTCATTAAAAATCGCATTTTAGTTTTTCTGAGCCACCCTATTGGTACACATTGAAGACAGTTTATTATAAGTTTTTTATTATAAAAATTATTTTATATTATCTAAATATTTTCATACATATGGTTTATTTATCCACCGTGAATAGTAGAATGATCTTGACCGCAATTTCGACTTTTGGTTTCTAGTGGTTTTTTTACATTATATTATATTGTTCTTTCCGCCGCAATTCACACACCTTGGTGTTTACCACAGTTATTGTTAGTATTTTTGAATGTTTGACAAGTAGTACAGTGTGGAACCAGATTCGAAGCTTAGACGGGCTCATTGGCTACAATTGGTTCCTATGCCTCCTTTACTTTCCATTTCAATTTATTGACAGCATTCATAACATTAATGTGTTTTTCTTTCAAGTCAGTAAGTCAAGTAAGTCAAGTAAGCTAACAATTCAGAAAAGGTCCTAAAGTTTTCACTATTAGTAATACTTATTTTATAAATAATAGTTTGATAGTAAAAAAGTTTTAGCCATCCTGGTCAAGTTACTTAGTTCTTAATAATTTGATATGCTTGATATCATTATGTGTAGAGCTCAAGACATACTTATGACTGCTATTTGCTGCTGTAATTTGTCCTATTTCAAGTAAAGGTTTTGTAATTCATGTTCCTGCTGTAACGAACCTTTCTGGCCGAGGTGTTGCTCGCCGGATTCCAGGTCCAGTCCTACAATAAATTTATTTGTTAGGAGCAGTGGTAAGTTTGCTATGGTAGGACGTATGACGTAGATAGAGGTTTTATTACTCAAGTCTAGGTTCCTCTATTTCTATTGCTACTAACGAAATGTTGATTTCGTTATCAATAAGTAATAGAAATGTATATTTCTATTCTACGGGACTGCTAGCGGAATGTTGCTTTACAAACAAGTAAATAATAGAAATGTATATTTCTATTCTACGGGGCTATTAGCGAACGGTGTGTTGTTTACAAGTTTTTATTATTGTTCTGGTGTTTTTTATTTTGTATTAAATTTGGTGGTGCGTTTTAATACTTGCTTTATCAATCTTGTTAGTGTTTTATAATATTTTGTGTTGTAAAATTTAAGAGCTATAAATTTTATGTTACACTACCATATCAATTTTAAATGGTATCTCAAGTTTTCGTTATTTATTTGAACTTTTTTCTAGAATGCAGTTGGTGTCTAACGACAATATTCTTTGTCGGTTTTATATTTTACTACATTAGTTAAATTTTGGCCTTTTCGGTTGCACGTAAGTACGGCAAAAAACAGCAAATTGCTGGCCTGTACTGGCCAAAATGTACGCAAAACAACAACACTATTTTCTCTACCTCGGCCAGTATAGTGCTACCAACGCAATAAGCGAACTATTGTGAAATTCCAACGAATATTACAATCATTGGAAATTGGAAAAGAAGACTAATTTCAATGTTTTATTTTGAAATTTTCAACATTTTTCCCTATTTCTCTTAATTTTGTATTCATTTTAATTTTCAATCTATGTTAATTATTTATTTTTATACAAAATGTAATTTTCTTGCATTATGTTATTTTTGCTATTTGTGGAAACATAACACTTGACAGATTGCAACAGTGATGTCAATGGCTCACGTGGCCAATATAGGCCAGCATGCATTTTTTGCCACACTTGCGAGCCTCCGAAAAGGCCTACATTGAAATTTAAAAGTTTCCCAAACAATAACTAGATTGGTTTCTATAGCAGTTATATATAAATTGCAACCGATTTGGCCACCTTTTTACACCAGTGTGGCTAACTATATACATATAGTAGAAATAGTCTGCGTCCACCCAGACAACTTCCAACACTACTATAATTACTTGACCTTAATCATATAAAAAATCTGTGGGATTATTTCGAAAGGAAGTGAATCTTCTTCTTCCGCACAAGTTTTCCAGCATGGATATGTTAAGAAATATCATCAAGGAAGAATAATAAAAAAAATAAAGACACAGGATACTGCAAAGCTGGTTGAGTCTGTGTAAAGACGGTTATTAAACACAGAGGTTTTTCTAAAGGCTATTAATTGTAGATTTCTGTGAATTTGAATTGTTGAAATTTGAATATTAAAAAGTGAATGCAGACTTTTTCTGCTGCAAAAATTATTGCTTTTGCATATAAATGTGTTTAATTTTTTTCTTTTAAAGAATATCTTAATTTTTTTATGTTTGAACTTCATTGTTGGTTTTTCGTTAAAATAAATTAGAAAACAGAAATTAATTTCAATAAAAATTAAATAAGTTATGTGAAATTTAACCAGTTTAGTACTCCCCATTACCATTAGTAACACAATACAATGCTATCAACGTACCGATAAACTATTATGGCCGTATATTGTACCAAATTTTTTTATATTATGGAAGTAAATTTATAATTAAATAAAGATTGTCGCTACTATAATAAACATGTTTGATTTTGATTTATTATTATTATGGTCCTTACAACATATACATAAATTTTCATGCAATTTTTGATATAAGTATTTCCTTCTAATTATCTCCTTACTTTAAGAATAAGGCAAAGTAAAAATTCATTGAATCTTTCGACTTGTATTGCCTTCGACAGCAATCGAAACAAATATAAACTCAGTTCAAAAATGAATTATACTATATATTGATATATTCCGAATTACATTTTCTTACTTATATTTTTATATGTAGGAAGTAAACATGAAACTTGCAAAATTTGACGAATTGGACACATTAATTAAAGGAATTTTGTTCGCAGAAGTTCAAAATCGAACCGAATGTTACTATTACGAAAATGGCACAGACATAATGTAAGTTTTAAATACTGTGTTTATCTATTTAGTCTAACTTATAAATATTTAAATTGTATATTAGGAAAAGTGAAAAGAGAGCATTTGATTTTTCAAAACCATATCCTTTCATACTTGTTAATGTTGGATCTGGTGTATCAGTTTTAGCAGTATATGGACCAGATAACTACAAACGTGTTTCTGGAACCAGGTACGTATGGACGAAGTTTTTTTTGACACAATATATAAAAGAATTACTCTTTTTATTACACTCTGTTAATATAATATAATTGGTTATCTTTTTTATAGTTTAGGAGGTGGCAGCTTTTTGGGACTATGCTGTCTTTTAACAGGTTGCAATACATTTGAAGAAGCAATTCAACTTGCTACGAAAGGTGACAATAAAAAAGTAGATAAATTAGTCAGAGATATATATGGTGGTGATTATGAACGATTTGGTCTTACAGGTGATTTAGTGGCATCCAGGTGCGAATTTTTTAACATTTTTATATAAATGATAACACATTTTTTACAGTTTTGGACAGATGCATTTAGACGATAAAAGGTCGGCTGTTTCACGAGAAGATCTTGCAAATGCAACTTTGGTGACAATTACCAATAATATTGGTTTGATTGCAAGAATGTGTGCTTTAAACGAAAAAATAGACAAGGTAAAAAATATTTTAATTTTCTTTTAAAAAAAAAAGTTTAATTTGTAATATAAAATGTTTTTATTCAATTTATTAAATCATCATCATCATCATTTTGGCATCACAATCCAGGATGGACCATTGCGTCCTTTACAATACGCCTCCATTGTTCTCTGCATTTCGCTTTCTTTCTGTGTTGTGTTATTTATTATGGCGGCCTCGACGTCCCAATGTTTCTTATTGTATTCATTTTTTGCGATTTTAGCCAATATCCTTTGACGAATACGCGCAACAACCATATAGTGATCTGAGTCACAATTTGCACCCCGGTAAGATCGTACGTCAATAACTGAAGACATATGTCTCTTATCTACTAATATGTGATCAATTAGATTGGTATCATTTTGTCCTGGTATTCTCCATGTTTGCTTATGTGTACACTTGTGCTGAAAGGATGTACTACTTATAAATACTTCTTGGGATTCGGCAAAGTAGACGTAGACCATTATCGTTTGTATTTTCATGAAGCAAATGTTTTTCTGCGACTTGTATTATTGATTGTTCCTTTTACGACATTTTATCGTAGAATTCATCCTTGTTCCCATCTTCACTTTCTTCTGTAAGCGCCTAGACCGACAAAATTTATATGTTTTGGAATTTACCTTTGAGTCGCAAATAGCATATGCGTTCATTTATTGGTTCGAAAGCCATTACACTATTTCGGGTTTTTTTGTTGACGTAAAATCCTGTGCCTTCATGACCTTGAATTTCGGCGCCGCTGTAAAAAATGCTATAATCTCGTTTCTTGATTTCGCCATGCCCCTTCCACCTTATCTCTTCTAGACACGCTACTGTAATGCCATACGTTCTAAGTTCGTTAGCTATTTCTGCCATTTTACCGGGTTGAAGCATAGTTAAAATATTCCATGTTGCTAATTTAAAATCGTTGTCCTTTATACGTTGCGTAGGTCGATATCTTGGGGGTATTTTTCTCCGAGGCAGTATTGTTGGATTCGTAGCAATAGATTTTATAACTGATAAGAGGTCGCCAGCCTCAGACCAGGTTTTCTCACCTCATTTCTTCTGTTCCCTTCCTTTCCAATTTATTAAATAATCACCAAATAAATATCTTTATATATTCAATATATGTATATGGGCTTATTGATCAACTGTGTGATTATATTACATTACGCAGCAATCCAAAAGTATAAGTGATTATACAAAAAAATAGGAAACATGATGTCAGAACTATTGAATGAAAGAAAAGAAGCAGCAATGAAAACAAATTAACATTTCGGTTTTTTTTCAAGAAAAATATCTGCTACCCGTTTGGTCTGGTTTGATGTGCAGATGAAAAACTTTCTCACACTTAATGCAATAGTAAAAGCAATAACAAAAAACTCAATAAGAGACTGTGAATGAGAAGGCAAACTAAATGCAAACACAATTAGCATCCGAAGATATAAAATCCAATAAATTTATTATTTCACAAATACTATGCTGCTGCTGCTAAAATCAATTACTCTTGAAAATTAACTGTAATCAGTAAATGGTTGCATTCAATTCCATAACAATTGTAATGGCGTATCTCAAGTCTAGATTACATATAATGAGTCATCAAGAACTTTATGGTCTTTTTTTTTTTGTTTTAGAACTTTATCAGTTCTAAAATAAAGAACGAAATATTTGATAACATTTCGAAATAAATGCGTTTCACTGTTCTTGTCTGGTACAAATGATACAAATCAAAATTAAAAAAAAAAAAATTTTCTTATAACCAATGTTCATCTGACGGAAATGCACTCACCGCTGAACTCAAATATAGCATAAAATGTAAACTTCATGAAGGATCAAAATAGCTTACATTGTATCAGTAATCAACATGAACCAGATTTGGACAATGTAAGGATTCTGTATCAAGAGGGTGACATACAAAACAGATACGTCTTCAATTTTATCCATCCAAAATAATTTTTTCAGTATTACACTAAACTCTAAATCAAATATTTACAACTGTGCACAATTATATAGAAATATTATTTAGTTTTTTATTATTTATTTATTATTTAGATAAGCACGAATAATCAAGTTGTTTCAAGTTGTTTGCAAGAAAAAAGAGGCAGGAAAAAGTAGCTATATTGGAATTTAAACAGTAAAATATCATTCTAACAACATTCATACTTCATACTATATAATATGTGCTTTATATATATTTGCCTTTTAAAATAGAACTCATAGTAATTGAATATGCTTTATATTATAATTTCCAAAAATAATTATTATTATTTGCCTTATAATTTTCAACGCACAAATCACTAAAACGCAAATTTATTCTTTCCTTAAAAATGAAAACTTAAAAATAACTATAATATAAAGCAAAAATAAAACTTCTTGTGTGTAGCTTATATTTAAAAAACAAATATAATTAACAAGCCGTTCTTGTAATTGTTCTTGTAATCTCGAAATGTATAAAACGTTTGGAGGAGGTAAAAAGTGAATTTTTTATTTATTTAATAAGTATTCTCATTATTAATCCGATCTTGCATTTTATGAAATAAAACAAAAATCAGAATGTATTAGATATTTGTGCGTTAAAATAGAAAAAAGCCAATAATATGTATATTCGGCTTCTCCGAAGAATGGCAAAAAACAAGTTGCTTTAATTTTGTGCACATATAAAAGATTTACTCTTTGCGGAAACACAACATTTTACAGATTGCAACAAAAATGCCAATATGTTAATATGTCAATATGTTAATATTGGCATTACTGTTGCAATCTGTAAAATGTTGTGAGTAAATATTTTAAAATGTCGCAAAGAATAAATATTTTATATGTATGCGCACAAAATACAAGCAATCCACATTTTCTATCAAAATAAATAATTAATATAAACTTAAAAATTAAAATTTGAAATGAACTAAAAGCAATATTGAGAACGCAGGAAATTTTGAAATTTCCTTTTACAACAAAATTAACAATAGTCTATTATATTTATGCATGAATGAGTGTTAACTTGTCAGTAAATTATAAGTTAAAACATTTAAAGCGCTTTTCAATTATACTTTCTTCATTAACTCCTACAACTTTTTATATAGTTTTAAAAGATTTATTTTCCACAATTTGCATACTTTTAAAATACTTTATTTTCAAATTTGTGAAACTTTTTAAATTTTCGTTTACAAATATTTGTTGACAGATTACTGGAATATCCGTTGATATTTTCAATGATTTCTTTCCATGATTTTTTGCTACAGTCGTCAAGATGTTCGGCCACTTTATAACTAATCCTTTGGATAGGGAAAGTAGTGTTGTTGTTTTGCGTACAAATTAGCGACTTTAAGCTAGCAACCTGTTGTTTGTCACATTTCGGGGCTACCGAATACACCTAATTATAATTAGTTAAGCTGACTGCGATTAGTTAGAAAATTATAATATAAAGCCGATTTAATTATTATTTTTACATTTTTATTTTAATTTACTTTCTTCTTATTTTCTTCTAAAATAACATTTAAAATAATGTGTAATAAATTTATGATATGTGTATTATAATTATATTGTATTTTGTATTTGGTTTTTAAGGATAGCTATAGAATATAAAATATATTTCCATTAAATATAAATCACAAAATCTTTTTTATAAAAAATTACAAATTATCAGTGTTTAGGTATATACATATGTCTAACAAAATGTAAAAAAAAGTACCGAATAAGCCATTAAAAATTGAATTTATAAAAATGTTTTTGCAAAAAAAAAATAACTAATTTAAAAAATGTTTCAGAATATAAATTAGATTTTTATAATTTTTAAAATACATTACTAAATATGTGATATGTATGTTATGCCATTTACTTTTAGGTTGTTTTTGTTGGCAACTTTTTACGAGTTAATCCAATATCTGCAAAACTTCTAGCCTATGCAATGAATTTTTGGTCAAACGGCAACACAAAAGCAATATTTTTAGAGCATGAAGGGTATTTTGGTGCTCTGGGCTGTTTATTACAATTTAATGGAGAAATTGCTGCAGCTTTGATTGATAAAACAGAAAATATGCAGAGGCGTAGTTCATCAAATGCGACGTCAAATATACAAAATATAAGCCACGAAAAGAACGGTGAAAGTTAAAATATTTAATTATTAGTTTGCATTATGTTTTTAGTCTATGTATGATGACTATTTATATTATGCGTTCCTATTTTCTTATGTATGTGCAGGGTGTTAGTGTTATAATTATATTTTTGTAGTTAATTTTGAAAATGATTTAAACTATTAAGATTTTATAAAAATATTTTCTATATTAGACAAATTTAAAGGCACAAACAAATATATCTTTACATTAAAATGAGATAGTGATCTATGATATATAATTCTATTAGCATTTTGTATAAAATTGTACAATTTTATAAAAATGTGACGAAAAATATATCAATGCAATTGAAAAGTTTTAAAACTGTAACAATTTTATATATTATTATATTACTATAGTATATTCCACATACAATTTAAAATGCATTTAAAATGCATACATATATACGAAGAGATCAAAATACATAACATTCATAAAACTATTTTGTTATACCAATGTATACACATTTATTGTATATATACGTAATTTGTTTTTATTATAAAGTAAAAATTAGTTTAAATATCTTAAATAAAACAGATGCTGTAAGGATTATCTACATAATATTTGTTTTATTTCTACGATTTTTTTTAGAAACAATCAATTGTTTAATTGAACATAAATTACAATATATCAACTGTTGTTCACATATACAGTCCTAGTCAAAAGTTTTACACAACGAAAAATTTTTGTGCATATCACACTAAAACAGAATTTTTGTTGTTGTTGTTGTTGTTGGAGGTAAGTTGTCACTTAGTTTTATCTATGCAGAAACAAATAAAAAAAGAATTGGAAAGATAACTGTTCATTTGACAAAAATAGAAGCAAATGCACTGATGCTTATTAGTTGTCAAAAGTATTTACACACATTTTTTTGCGTTAAAAGCATTTACACAAAACATTAATTTTATTTCAAAGAATCTGTTACATGAAATGTGCGCAAAATAAATCACTCCGCAACTTTTAATGTTTTTTTTATTAACAAATGGAATACAGTGATCACAAATTTAATTAAATCAATTGAGGCAGTGACACTAAATAAAATTCTAATAAAATTGTGCCCGATTTTAAAAGATAAGTGAAACTTTTATAAAATTAAAACATTTGTTTTTATCAAAAAAAAAAAAAAATAGTTTAACTTTGCAAAACTAATTTGTTTTGAATTTCTTTATTAATATTTTTCCACACAAATTTAAAACAGCTGATGGAGATATCATATAAAGTTTGAAAGCTTCACGTAAATAAAGAAGAAAAAGTGTTGCAAATTGACTTAGAAATTATACCAATTGCAATTCGCTTATTTTTAATTGTGTAATTTACTAATAAAATCTTTTCTGTTTATTTTATTTATTTTTTTTCTTCTTATTTTTCTTTTGTCTTATTTATATAAAGCGACTGAACAAATAAAATTTAATAATAATAATTCATGCCTCCGGTAAAAGAAGGTGGTACACAGCACTTAAAAAATGAAAATTCACCAGCAGATGTTAGAACTAAACAAGAACATAGTTCAGCAGAAAAAATGAATAAACAAAATAAAGACATTTCGACTTTACTAAAGGTTTCTCAACGAGAACGATCAAGATATATGAGCGAAATCCATAACGCTAAAATCGATTTTCCACCTAATGATATTAAATCGTGCAGAAAAGAAGAATGGAACGAAGTTAAAGGTAGTAAAAGACTTAGAGACAGTCCTGAAAAAATGAAAAAAACAGGCAACAAAAATTGAACTACTGGCTCAGTAATTCGAATAGATTTGATGGACTGGTAGTGGAACAAAAAGAAGACCAACCAGCTAAACAAGAGGAAAACCCCTTAAATCACCAGCAATTTTTGTAGATAAAGTTGAGGACGTCCGGCCACTTTTAAATCTGCTTAACGAAATTACAAATAACAAATATGAAATAAGAGTGATTTCATCTACTCGGGTTCGTATACAGCCCGGTACACCGGAAATTTTTGCAAAAATCGGTAAACTGCTGGAAAATAAGAACACGGAATTTTATACATACAAACCTAAAAATGAAAGGAGCTTTAAGGTCATATTAAGAAATATGCATCCTTTCGTCGATATTGGGGATATAAAAACAGCTCTAGAAGAATTTGAATATGCTACTACAAATATATGGAATATCAAACATCGCCAAACAAAAAGGTCCCTTCCAATGTTCGTTGTAGAAATAGAGCAAAAACCAAATAAAGATATCTACAACATTAAAAGCTTACTCTACAGTCGAGTTACCTTTGAGCCACCCCATTTTAAGCGTGAGTTACCTCAATGCTCAAGATGCCAACACTATAGCCACACTAAGTCAGGATGTAGAAGACAACTCAAATACATTAAGTGTGCTAATAATCACGCATCGACTGACTGCGAAAGAAAATCCAGAACAAATGATGTCAAATGTGTTCTTTGTGAAGGTAACCACCCAGCTGCTTAGTCTATAAAAAACTGCAAGCGTCTACTTTCCCAACACTAAGAAAAAAATTTCTAAAACCTGATGCTGAAATTGTATCCTCAACTAATCAGCATCAAGAACAACACGAAAAATAGCAAACTTTCGCTCAAACTGCACGCTCTGAAACTATTCTAAATAAAAACTGTCAGCAACCAAATTTCTTCCAATAAAAATAATCTTCACAGCGATGCATTGGTGAGTGAAATGAAAGAAATGATGAAACTAATGCGGGAAGTAATGAATCAAATAACTACCATGACAAATCTTTTAGTAAGTCTTGTTTCTAAACAAACCATATGCCCATAAAGCTCGTCTTATAGGTCTTATGCCAATGGGTTGTCAAAACATTCCTCTGAACTGAGATTATTTCTATCAAAAAATAACGTAGATGTATTATTAGTTTCAGAAACTCATTTCACAAAAAAAAGTTTTTTAAATTCCATCCTATTGTTTCTATCAGTCTCCGCATCCGGACGGAAAAGCTCATGGAGGCTCTGCAGTATTAATTAAAAGAACACTTAAACATTATGAATGTACTTACCACAACACTTCAAGTCAGAAATTCAAGCCAGAAATGTTATGACTGAGAACTGAATCAGACCAATTCTTATATTTGTCATATATAATCCACCAAAACATAATCTGAAGGAAGAAATCCACAGAAAATTTTTTTCAACATTAGGGAATCGATTTATAACTGGTGGTGACTTTAATGCGAAAAATATACTCTGGGGATCACGACTAACCACAACAAAGGGACGTGAATTATACAAAGCAGTGAGACTCTTGAAACTTAAAGTTGTTTCCACAGGAGAGCCCACATACTGACCATCAGATACAGAAAAAATTCCCGATCTTATTGATTTCTGCGTCACCAAAGGCTTTCTTTATGAATATGTGCAATGTAAGACCAGCTTAGAGTTATCATCGGACCATTCACCAGTGATTGTCATAATAGATAAACACCTTAGAAACAAGATCCAAAAATGTCAATTATACAATAAGCAAACAAATTGGACTATATTTGAAACAATGTTGTCATCGTCTCTAAACGTCAAAATGCCACTAAAAAGTGAAGAAGATATAATTGAAGCGACTGAATACCTAACCAGATCTATTCAAGAGTCAGCATGGCAAGCTACTCTCATAGTCTATACGAAGAATCTAGTAATGTATACTGGGGAGATCACAAAAAAACTAAAGGATAAACGAAATGCTAGAAAAATATGGCATCGTACCAGATTTCCTGAAGACAAGAGGAAACTTAACAAAATTATTAAAGATCTAAAAACACTGCTAAAACGACAGACGGAACAAAATACGCAGCAGTTCTTACATAGCCTCGACACGTCTCACTTAGCTCACTATTCTCTATGGAAGCATATAATATTTAATAAAGTAAATAATAAAATATATTATCGACCCCCACTTAAAAAGACAAATAATACTTGGGCGAAAAAACCGTCTGAAAAAGCTCAACTTTTCGCAAGCCATCTAAAAAATGTTTTTACTCCACATGATATGACTGGCGATTCAGAAATAGATGTCAATGTTTCCAAATTTTTAGAAGAAACTCACCAAATGGAGTTACCAATTAGGAAATTTAAAAAACGAGAAATAATTACTACAATTAAATCTCTTAAAAATCAAAAGGCACCTGGTTATGATCTCATAACTGCTGAAATTCTTAAAAAACTTCCAGATGTTGCTTTAATATTTATTACTCATCTTTAAAATGCATCCTTGTTAAAAAGTTTCATCCCAGATTAATGGAAAGTTGCCGAAATAAAGATGATACTAAAACCAGGGAAACCAGCTGAAGATGTAAAATCCTATCGTCCCGTAAGCCTCCTTCCCATTCTTTCAAAAGTTCTTGAGATACTATTTATAAAACGTGTTATGCCGATAATTGAGTCGTAACGAATAATTCTGAATCACCAGTTTGGATTCAGAAGATAACACTCAACTATTGAGCAAATTCATAGAATTGTTGAAAAAATACAGACCACTTTTGAGCGAAAAGAATACTGCACAGCAGCATTTTTGGACATATCTCAAGCATTTGATCGAGTATGGCACCAAGGACTTCTTTTCAAATGTAAAAAGCTTCTGCCACTTAACTATTATACGTACATAAAATCGTATCTATTGAAAAGATTCTTTTATGTCAACAATCAGAATGAAATGTCTTCTCTACATTAGAGCTGGAGTACCACAAGGCAGTGTATTCGGTCCAACTCTTTATCTGCTTTTCACATACGATTTACCGAAGACGGTAGGAATTGTAACCGGTACATTTGCAAATGATACAGCTATCCTGGCAAGTGCAAACGATCCCTCTTTCAAACTACAAGCTGGTCTTGATCGTATATCAAACGGTTGAGCATTGGCGCATGAAAGCAAATGAAACAAAATCTACTCATGTTACATTCACAATGAGAAAATACACCTGCCCGGAAATTAAACTTAATAATATAATAATTCAAACAGAGCTAAATAACTGGGCATTCACTTAGATAGACGTCTGACATGGAAAACACACATTTTTAACAAAAGAAAATCCTTTGAGATTCAATACAGAAAAATGTTTTGGCTACTGAATAAAGAATCTTCAATATCTCTAAAAAATAAACTTATTTTATATAAAAGTGTGCTAAAACCAGTATGGACCTATCGCATTCACGTATGGAGAACTTTACGAGAAATGGTAAATGCTCCATGGTATGTAACTAACATTCAAATCTATCGGGACCTTTGGATAATCCAGGTAAGAGACGAAGTAAAAAAGGTAGCTAGAAAATATCATGAACGAATACAA